TGCTAATCCTAAAACTGGATAAAGATAATAGAAGAAAAAAGTATGAACATAGATAGAAATTTGTTTAACAAAACAAACTATTAAAAGTCAGATCTGGCATACTGGCTGTTTCTTGAATGTTTCCAAAGGGTTATAGAGTTACAAACTTAGGCTGTTGTGTAAATACAGGTAAAACAGAGTAATAAGGTTCCAGGTTCTGTTTCCTTCAGCTCATCCTTTTCTTTTTCTTCCCTCTTTATTCATAGTTGACCACAGCATGTTTGAGAATTTGAACACAGCCCTCACTCCAAAGCTCCAGACAAGCCGGTCCTTCCCCCACTTGTCCAGGCCTACAGCCCCAAACTCTGCCACCCTGAGCTCTGCAGAACCTGGTGGGCCAGGACTGAGAATGGGCAGCAGCCAGCACCTCAAGAACCTGGGCAAAGCCATGGGGGCCAAAGTCAATGACCTCTTGCGTAGAAAGGAGCCCTCAAACATGGGCAACGTGGTTGTGATGGAGATCAACAAGACTGCAGGAGCCCAGTTGGCTGGTGGGACCAATGTGGCATCGGGGGCCAGCCTGGAGGATGAAAGGTGAGCCCCCCCACCTGCCCAGTGTACCACTTGAAGAAGAGGTACATGGGCAAACTGCAGTGCACCAGGGGAGAATGCCGTGGGGGAGGGATGTGAAATGGTCAAGTGAAGAAAAGCTAAAGGACTGGGCCATGTTCATGGGTCCAGCTTCAGCCTCCATAGGCACTGAACTACCTACTTTAGTGGATTATTTTATTGCCCAGGGAGGTAAATTCTATTTTCATTTTGCAGGTGACTTAAGTTCAGACCTGTAAAATGAGTAGCTTGAGATCACAGAACTGGAGTCAAGCCCAAGTGTTGCCTAGAAGCTCCTTAGATGGTTTTAGATGCCCAGCCACACCTGAGCACCATTGCCCTAGATGAAAACCGCCTGGGGAAGGGACAGAGAAGCCTGATGTGGCTGCCCTCCCATTCTTCCACTGCTTACCAACAGGTCCCTTTGTTTTAAACACCCATGTCTATGAGGCAGCAATGCAGTCTCTAGCCTTTGTGTGGGTTCTGATATGATACTGCTCCGTGGTGATCTTCATGCTGTCTCCCATGGACAGCACTTTGAGCTGCTCTAAGCATGAGTTGGGGTAGAAGCTAATTGTTATGCTGGAGTTGCTAAAACCATCTGTACCCTAAAATCAGAATAAGAGCCCAAGGGATGAAACACTCATTGGGTGGGTGAGTTGAAGAAGGTGCAGCTGAAGTTAAAGAAGTAAGAATACACGTTCCCAAGCAGGGGAAAAGAGCTTGACATACAGATAAGTGAGGCATATAAGACTCCAAATAGCCTTGATCAAAAAAAATCTACACATAGGCATATAATT